GTCAGTGCGGCTGAGGGTCGAGCACGGCCCGAAGCTGAACGGGACTGGCGACCCAGCGTCGAGAGTTGCACCGCTATGCCCAGACACTTTAGACAACTGTTGTGTGGGTCGCCTCTGGGCATAAACTTCCCGCAGGCCGCGCCCGGGTACCGCTAGGGAAATCGCTCCGGAAGACGCGGTGCACGCAGTGCGCACACCTACTTCGAATGGACATGAGCAACTACTCGAAGAAGAACCACGTCTAGACCGCGGTTTTACATTCAAAATGGCGCTTGTTCGAAAGAGTGCCAGGACGCTATTACGCAAATGCAGCGCAGGCTATTTAAATTCCTGCTTCATTTGCACTTTCAAAATGCCTCATTTACATCCCTCTGTCGACAGAGATTTTATGGAGAGATCAGTGTTTCTCAAACTGGGGGATCCTGATGCAAAAAGGAGTTGTGTGGGAAGTTCCAAGCAGTGTTCCCTGTAAACTTTGCAACTGCGTGTCTGCTAAAAAAAGATTCAAAAGATGCCCTGCTGATTAGCAGAGCATCCAAAGCTAGTTTTTGTTTCTGCTGGTGGTGTACATGAAAATTTATTCCACAGAGATATGGAAAAAACAACACATGGATAGAAAAGATTAAAGAAAACATTGGCCCCAAGGTTATTTTAGGGGGAAATCATGGTATTGCCACCCTTATGTCTGTGCTAACCCTAGCAGTTGGCACTGTCTTTAGAGCTGGGCTCCCATCCAGCAGCCATTGCTCTCCGGCTGCCCAGCCCTGCAGGCAGCACTGCCACCAGCAGCAGCACAGAAGCAAGGTTAGAAATACCACAACTCCCACTACGATAACTTTGTGACTACCCCCTCCAACTCCTTTTTGGTCAGGACCCCCACAGTTACAACACTACAAAATTTTAAATTTAAATAGCTGAATCAAGAAATTTTCTATTATTAAAACGGACCATGAAATTGACCAAAATGAACCATAAATATGGTAGGGTTCTAACCCAGTAGTGTGATACCTTTTTTCAACCATGACCCCCATATACTCAAGATAATTTGAGCAGTGTGGCACAGTGCTTCGACCCGGGCAGCCAGGGGCTGGGCCCGGCCGTTGGCAGCCCCACAGCACAGCACAGAGCTTAGATCCAGCCAGGTGCTGGGCCCAGCTGTTGGCGGCCCCACAGGAAGACATCCGTGACCCCCACTGGTTGCACCACTGCTCTAACCCATTGTGCTGGACTCTAGACAACCTTGTTTCTTAAACTGAGTTCCGGAAAACACTGGTGTTCTGGAGAACTCACAGGTGTGCCGTGACCATTTGAGGAAAAATAACGGCCGTTAGAGCCACTGAGACACAGCAGGTGGTGTGAAGGGCGGAAGAGGTGAGCGAATGATGACGCAGCAGGAAATGAGGTGGGGCTACCGACATTCCTCCTCACGGGCTGCTGCGCCCGGCTTGCAATTGCCTGGGAAAGCTCTGTACCTCGGTTGCACCCCTTGCCAGAAGGGAGGAGCGTTGCAGGGCCAGAAGCAGGGCCAGCTCTGATTGGCTGTCTCTGCTGATGGTCTGGAGATCCTGTCTGCCAGGGAAGAGAACTGCCCTACAGCCGCCAGAACTGACCTATAGCCGCCACCTCAACTAGGTCTTTGCACCACTGCCTTTAGCCCTCACTTGTTACCCAGGACACCTGAGGGGGGCCATATACAATGTTCCTTCTTTGTTGGACAACTTTTTTTTATTTAATGGATAGCGATTGACAGGTTATGTCTGGGATATTTAGATTAAAAAAGATGTTCCACTTTTCAAAAGATAATTAAAAAGATACTTAAATTATCATTGGGCAATGAGCGAATATTGTCATTGTCAATAAAAGTGTTTAAGGGGCAAGGTGCGTGTGTTTTTTTTTTTTTGCTTAACAAAAAAATCCTTGGCATTCCTCGGTCTTAAAAAGTTTAAGAAACACTGTTATATAGGGCTTCTTCAGTAGTTCTCAAAGCGCTTTACAAAGGAATATTATCCCCATTTTAATGGGGACATCAAGGCACAGTTTGCTGAGGATAGGAAGTTTCCCAACAAGTCAGGACCACAACATAGGTCTCCTGAGTCACAGTCCCATGTTCTATCCATTAGGATAAATTATTTTCCTCTCAATCCCACAGAACAAACCTATAGCCCAAGACTGATTATGTTGATTTGGACTATTATTAATGAGTAATTACTGAAAAAGTATCTTTCCCCAAACACAAGTCGGTTAATTTTATGCTATGTAATATTGAAAATCAAATAGAAAACATATGTCTCTATGGCAACATTTTCCAAGAACTCGTGAACAAAAATTTAACACTTTTTAAAAGGGATTACTTCTCCTTCACTTTGACTCATTAGTGGGATTTTTTTTGTTTGTTTTTGTGAACCAACTAATTTGTGTTCATTTAATATGTGGCATTAATATTTAAAATCATTGCTTAGAGCTACTGGTAAAATTAGAACCTTCTCTTCAATGTTGTAAATTCTAAGGTTTTATAATCAACACCTTGAGATGCTATTTGATTCTTTCTGAAAGTGGAGTACAGTTGCATGTTAATGCATGGCCTCCTCCTTGTCTGGAGATGGGCAAACAAATATTTTGCATTTATCTTCTTGCCCTCCATGCTGAAGGATCCCCAAATGCTTTACAAACTATAGCTAGATCCTAGACCCTGTACCTCACCAAATAATCTGGCTTGGAATAGATTTGGGGAGGACAGAAAACTCTCACCCCTGGCCTCACTTTCTCAGCTGCCACTTAGGCTGAAAGGACACATTTATTTCCACAACTGTTGGAACCCCCCCTTCACAACAAGGTGGGTGAGTTTCTTTTGAGTTTACTATATCCAATATTAGGTGATAGTCTGTAGCTTTCCAGAGTTGCACCTGTTTACGACCACCACATGTTGCACGGGACAGAAATCTTGACTTTAAAAATACAGCTAGATTTCAAAGGAACCACTACACCTTTGTCTTAGTCACTAGAAGCTGAGACCATTACAGGAACGCAAGCGGGGCAAGCATTTGCAAAGAAAACTTTTTCTCTTCTAGTGCATCTAGCATTCACATCCCCATTGCAGGGGGAATTCTCCAGCAGAGTCATAGATCAGAGAACGTATGCTTGCAAGGAATATTTGAGTCCTCGATTGTATAGCTCCCAACATAGCTAAAGTTGGAACGCTATTATATTGTGAAAACATTATGAGTTTCATTTCACTTGTGACATGTACTGAAATAACAGAGGATTCAGAAGAAAGTGGGTAAAAATAAACAGACGCAGAAAGAAAGCCAGAGCTGACTCCTACATCAGCTAGGGGGCTGGGGAACTCCACCAATAATGGATTGTAGTGAAAATATCCATTCAAATACATATTGTATCAATGAACAAACCCACAACAAACCTAAGAACACACTGAGTGTCCCTTTGGCTTTTCCACTAGGATCCCTTAATAGCTATCTGCATAGTACAATGGATCAAGTAATCTCCCCTGCTAACCTCAGGCAGACAGCCATCTGCACATAAGATTCATAGAATCCAATGACAGAAGGGACTATTGGGATCATCTAGTTTCATCTCGTTACACAGGTCACTGAACTTCCCCAAAATAATTCGCAGAATAGATCTTTTAGAAAAACACCCAAGCTGGATTTAAAAATTACCAGTGATGGGAGTAATTTACACTTGCACACTGGAGTCAGAGAGGTAAATACACAAACATGTACAGGAAACGGATTTGTTCTCACATAACACTTGAAAAACTGACATTATGTGATCCTATAAAAAACTGCTGCCCGTCTTCTCTCACCATGAGACTCTGCGACACAATATTTGTGCCTTTTTTTCCGTTGATGGCACATAAAAGTCTTCCAGGCTTGAAATACAAGGTTGTACAGGAAATATCTGAACAACAGAAAAAGATATTAAAATTGGATATTGTACTAAGAAGGGCAACAAAAATAGTTCAACAAAATTAAAGGAGAGATTGAAAAGACTGCAATTGTTCATGTTAGAAAAGAGACTAAGAGAGGATAGGATAGAGGTAGAGATGTAAAAGTGTAACTGTTTAAATGGTTTCTATTACGGTTACACATTGACTCCCTGGAAGCCCCGGCTCCATTGGGGTCTCTGCCATGTAACTTTTAGTCTGCAGAACTTGCAATACAGCTGGCTCCCCAGGAGCAGGGCTGACATGGGCTGCAGGCCTCACGCCCAGGAAGGTTTTGCTGCAGGCTCTATAGTATAAAGCTTATATATAAGCTTTGAGATCAAGCTGTATTCTTATATAAGCTTTATACTGCAGAGTCCGCAGCACGCGTAACCTCTAAGATTTTTAGCAGTTACTTTTTTTAAACAACTTTTTACATCTCTAGACAGAGGTCTATATAATCATCATTGGTGTGGAGAAAGTGAACAACAAAGTGTTATTTACCCCTTCACAGGAGACAAGAACCAAGAATTATGCAATTAAATTCATAGATATCAGGTTTAAAACAAATATATGGAAGTACCCAGAATTGCACGATCAGTCTTGGGAACCCATAATCAGATGTTGTGAAGGCCAAAAGAATGACCAGGTTCAAAAAAGAATTAGATAAATTAATGGTCTATCGATGGATTAGCCAAGATGGCCAGGATGTAACCCTATGACAGGGTAGGCAATTTTTGCCTGGGGGCCACTTCAAAAATTTCTGAAGTAGCTCCAGACCACCCCGGAAGGGCAGGGCCTAAACAGGAAGGGGTGGGGGAGCCCTTTTGCCCCCCCCTTAAACTTGGTCAGAAGCTGGGACTTGACAACAGGGAATGGATCACTTGATAAACTGCCATTCCATTCATTCATTCCTTAGCATTGGCCATCATTGGAAGATAGGATACTACACAAGATGAACCATTGGTCTGATCTACTACGACCATGCTTACATTCATATGTTAAAAAAATTAAATAATTCCATCATAAGCTTCAGTGCAATCTAGCCTGTTCCTGTACAATATACCTGGTCTCAATTGCTCTGGAATGGGCAGGAGAGATTCCTATCACATAGCAGCTTCTAGCAAGACTTTAGTCAGATTCTGAAAGAAGTGCCTTGCAGCACAAAATCTGGATTTTCTTCTGACATTCAATGGAAAAGTTATGATGGCACAAGCAAAATGAGGGTTCTTAACATCAGAGGGGAAAAAGTCTTGGATCAACCTTGATTATCTTTTGGGCTAACCTATTTGGCAAAAGCAGCATCTTCACAGTGATTTTTTTTAGTGAGCATGTGTGGACCAGACTCTCAATCACTCATCCATCCCGGTCTCAGTCTACCTTTAAATAATTACACTGCCCCATATTGAGACATTAACAGCAGGATTCTGAAAACTCTCAAACTGAAGAGCACTTCACAGAGAGCATGTAAAAATGGGACAGAACTCTTAGGATACACATCAAACTACTCGCTCCGAGACAAGAAAGAAAGAAAGAAACCTCTTTGTTCCTGTGAACGGTAGCCAAAAAAGCCTTTTGAGCAAGAGACAAGAGTATAAAAAGCTTTGAGGTTACAGCAAGTGATTGATGGGAAGGTATAAAGGAACTATGAGGTTCCTCAGGACAGATAAAAGCCTCTTGAAAAGGATATTTAATTTGCCCCTTCATAAATAATATAAGCAGAAGAGGATCTAAAATGCCTGTTTCACTAATAACAGGCTCAGAGTTTGTCAACATGGAAGATAATCTGGGAGCAAGACAGATCAAGTTCCCAAATCTTAGTCAATGTGTAACAGCAGACAAGAGCTATACCAACTACTGTACATTCTGACACAATAAAAGAAGAACACAAGAGATATGTACCCAGCTGCCCATTCACTCCTTACTTCTAGGTCAAATAACAGCATATGTCAAGAGAATCTGGCCATTTACAAGAGTAATATCAATATGAACATGTTTAGAGAGCCATCTAAATTAATTACCGTAAAATCTCGAGTATAATGCACACCTACCTTTTAAACGTCAGAATCCGAGAATAAACTGAACTTTTATCTATAATTCGTATCCCAACTTCGCCGTATTTTGTCTTGCCTTTTTGTATTGCCGGGTAATCACATGTGAGTGCACGAGTATATAGTGCACGGCGTTTCCATGCTCTCTTTAGGATGCCATGAGTTGTCAGCGATCTTACACAACCGCTGAAAAACTTAAAGTTGTTAGATATGCTCAGGCTCATGGCAACAGAGCTGCCAGCCATGAATTTGATGACATAGCAGAGTCTAACATTCGGCTTTGGAGACGGCAGAAAGAGCACCTGCAAGCACTGCCTCGGATGAAGATGGCTAAGCGAGGTAAAGGCGCTGCATATCCTGAGTTGGAGGCCAAGCTGAATGAATGGATTGAGGAGCGTAGACAGCAAGGCAGTGGTGTTAGCATTGCGGAGGTTAGAATGAAGGCTTTGACCATTGCCAAAACGTGCACTAACATAGCCAGGTTTAAAGCTTCGTATGGCTGGGGCGATCAGTTCATGAATCGCCATGGCTTATTGGTCCGCCACCAAACAACAATCGTACAAAAGCTACCTATGGTCTCAGACACCAAGTTACTACAGTTCCAAAAGTTTATCGTAAAACTACACAAGCATCACTGCTACGACCTTTCATTAATTGGTAATGCAGATCAGACACCATTAAATTTTGATAATCCCTATGACAGAACACTTGAAGTGAAAGGTGCCTAGACCATCTCCATTGCTACCACAGGCCATGAAAAGTCTAGGTTTACCGTAATGCTTGCTTGCATGGCCAACAGAACGAAGCTGCCTCCTTATATAGTGTTCAAGCACAAGACAATGCCAAAGAATGTTATATTCCCAAACACTGTTCATGTGCATGTTCACCCTAAAAGCTGGATTGACGAAGCTTTAATGCTTGATTGGCTACAGACCCGAACACCATTCACGTGAGTGTTCACCCTAAAGGATGGATGCATTTTGGTGTCATTGTATGCCATCCATCAAGAAAAGGCGTCAGCAGGACAAAACAGACTTGGCAATTATTCCTGGTGGAATGACCAAAATGTTGCAGCCGCTTGATGTGACAGTTAACAACCCAATGAAAGATGCACTATGCAGGAAATGGAAAACCTGGTTATTGGAAGGTGAACATATTTACTACGGTGGATGTATGCAAACATCGACACTGCAAGATGTTACCCAGTGGATAGGGGATGTCTGGCTTGAACTTGATCCCACTATAAGGAAGGGGTTTCTGAAATGCAGCATCTTTAATACTATGGATGGCAGCGAGGACGATGCCCTGTGGATGGATCCGAGAGACAATAAATCGGCCGAGGGCGAATTACCGGAATGCGAAGAGGACAATGATTTGTATTACCTGGATGAAGATGTCGAGGGCTATACCCTGGAAGATATTGCTTGTCTGATCGAGGAAGATTCTAACAAAAGTGAATTCAAGGGCTTCAAAGATGACTGGAAGATCAATTAACATATTTGCTTGTTTGCGCTGCAGTGTTGATTTCATTTGTTTAACTTACCTTTTTGAAACTATATAGTTGCTTGTCGATGCTAATAAAATTCAACTCAACCTCTGGTTTCCAGCGGTTAATTAACTGTCGCAGAACCACCAAATGAAAACTTAAAAAAAAAACTCCCATGGATAATGCGCACCCCAGCTTTGACACTAAAAAACGGGGAAAAAGTGTGCATTATACTCACAATTTTATGGTACTGATTCCTGAAAATCAAGAAATGTAATTCATACAAGGTGAATAGTTTTCTGAAGACAGCTGAGCTTTGACATCTAATTTTATCTTAGGACAAGGAAAGAAAGCATACTGTTTCTTGGATGAAAGGTGAGTAAAAAGGAAGGAAGAAAAAGTTTTAAATAAGTGAGAAAAGCACTATGTTGTCTTTCCTCACCTAATAATGCTGCTGAAGTAGTTTACTGACATACACATCACGCTCCAAGACCCAAGGAGAATTTTTCACACCACTGTGGACACAATACAAAGTCATTTCACAGACCTGTAATGGCAGTCAGCTCTGATGCCAAGCTTCCACTCTCTGCAAACAATCCACCATTCCTCCTTCCACTCGCCAAAAGTTTTTTGAGAATGACATCTGCAGTGTTCAAAGATTTTGTGAATGAGAAGATTCGTTTAACAAAAATAGTAATTGCAAATACATTTTAAAGGAAATTCTCATTATATCTCTCCTTTTTCCAGTGTTAGCGTCTTAACCCAAACCTATCTAACCATAACAAAACTTTGCCCTTGCATTCCATATTTAATCTGAGGATCTAAAAGTGCTTAGAATGACATCTGCAGTGTTCAAAGATTTTGTGAATGAGAAGATTCGTTTAACAAAAATAGTAATTGCAAATACATTTTAAAGGAAATTCTCATTATATCTCTCCTTTTTCCAGTGTTAGCGTCTTAACCCAAACCTATCTAACCATAACAAAACTTTGCCCTTGCATTCCATATTTAATCTGAGGATCTAAAAGTGCTTTATGATACAATTAACTGAGCATCACACAACCCTTAAAAATAATTACCCCTCTTTTAAAATTGAGAAAAAATAAAGAGACCTTAGTGACCAAAATCAGTCAGCTGATGACAGCTCTGGAAATAGAACTCATCTCAAGCTATGCTAGACCTTCAAACCATTAGACAATATTGCTACATTTCCATCTCTAATCAGTATTTGTTCACGTGATTTTTTTCAAAAGCTAACTTTTGTTTTAGTTTTTAGAAGTATATTTGTAATTAATTTTAATACAGGTTTATATTGTTCTAAAATATACCCACTATGCTCTGACACAAGTTATTCATAATTTAAAATTCCAAAAAGGGGATGATTAAAAACCTTAGACAACATTCATTATATGTACCTCATGCTAACAGTGTGGAACATTTAGTTGCACAGTATAGAATTTTATGAATGAGCTACTGCCTCTAATTTTATTAACCTAATCCTTTAGCACAAGCCATAAAGGTTTTTTCTTTTAGATCCAGAGATCCTAAGTTACATTTCCACAGACGACCAAGCCAAGGGACAGTATTACATGAATATTCATGTAAACACTAACCTAATCAAAATTCAGGTGGGATGAAGTTTGGAACTGAAGAACTGGGACTCCGATAACGGATTTCAAAGAACAAGGTTCTCCATAATTAGAAATAACAATGACTAGTATCTCTACTGCCCCTACCTGAGAGTACGGCTAGACTACAGGCTTTTGTCGACAGAGGCTTTGTTGACAGATACTGTCGACAAAGCTTCTGTCAACAAAGACCGTCTAGACTGCATCCAATTCTGTCGACAAAGCAAGCCACTTTGTCGACTTGAGTGTGGACGCAAAGGACAGTGTAAATGCAATAATGCCTTCTGTCGACAGAACTCTGTCGACAAAAGGTGTTATTCCTCATAGAATGAGGTTTACCACCATTGACAAAACTGCTGAGTTCTGTCGATGTTATGTCAACAGAACTCGGCGGTAGCGTAGACACAGGTATAGTTTTGTCGACAAAAGTCCACTTTTGTCGACAAAACATTGTAGTCTGGACACACTCTGAGACAGCACAATTACGATTTCACTTAAACATTACTCCTGGGGAATGATCACTGGCCAAAACAACATAGCTAATATCTGAAAAATGTAAAGTTGTGCTTGGCGCAAATGTGAACAATTTTCTCAAGTCTCTTATTTATGTATATGTTTCATAGAGACTAGAAAAATGGAAAGACCAACCTAAAAATAAACAAGCAAGCTAGAGAGCTAAGTAAACAATGGGCCCAGTCTTGAATCTCTTGCTCACAGGAAGAATCCCACTGAGTTAATAGGGGCCCTCAAATACATAAGGACTGCAAGATTAGGTTCTATATGACCTGCCCTCCCCACAGGAAAAAAAAAAGCATATACTACAATATAAACCTACCTACCCCATCAAACCAAGCTGCTAAGCCATTCCAAGCAAAAGCAGGAAAAAATGAAAGAGCCATAGGTTATTCTTTCACATTGACTGAAATGTTAAGAGGAGAGTAGAAAACCAGGGCAATATGGGATCTGGGCAGTCCAGGAGCTATATCTCTTGAGCAAAAGGGACATTTGTTCCCCAAATGCTCTTCAAGGGGCCCCAAATTACTGCCACAAAAGTCAAAATATGTACAATTGGTACAGCCTTCATGCTTTATTTAAATTATAAATCATAGCAAAATACTGATCTAATTGCCAAATTTCACCTTTTAAATTCTTAAAATCCAAGCTTTCCAGGGATCTGCCTCCCTCTTTGGTAAGTTGTTTGTTTTTAAATAACATTCAAAGATACAAAAGTACCCACTTGCCTTCCCAATAATGTGACCCTAAATTTGGTCCTGAATTTGGGAAAAATTCTCTTTTAGTTTACAATAAAGTTATTTTGGTTTAATTTAGCTGGCTGACCTCTAGATTTTTAAAAGATTATTTTAATTCATTCCCCAGATTTCATATACTGGATCAGCACATTGCCAAAGCAAGTAAACCAAACCCAAAATATGGGGCAGGGGAAGGTAAGAAAACTGGTTTTGGCTCAGATGACAACTTGTGTTTGGCCAGCTAATACGGTCTTGATAAAAGAATTTATATTCTTCATAGTGAAATGAAATGGGATAACTTAGGGGCTGATCTAATACTGAAGTCAATACAAGTCTGCTATTCCTTTAAGAACTGTATTATGCCCATACAACAAAGACAAGCAGGAGCAAACACACAAAGCAAAGCAAAATAGGAAAAAATTCCAAAGACAGTTGTTTTTTCAGTAGTCATTTAAAACCAAACTAAAGAATCTATTGCCATAGCAGTTCAAAAATCACATATGCGAAAGCATTTGTGAACACTCATTAAGAATATCCTTATATACTGCAGGATGAAATGAACTAAATGAACTATTGGGACTTTCCCATCTTTCCTGTCTATAATATTATAATTTTTAAGAGACTTACAATTAAAATGAAAGGCCAAATTCTTCATTGGTGTAAATCTGGCATGTCTGCGCAGAAACCAATGCAATTGCTCTGGATTTACAGATAAAGTAAATTTTGGACACAACTATTTAAGAATAATGTTCAGAAACAGATCTCAATTTCAAAAGGTAGCTGCCAATATATTCCTGCAAAGCAGGTATCCCTTTGATTACCCATATAAATGTTACATAAGAACGGCCATACTGGGTCAGACCAAAGGTCCATCTAGCCCAGTAGCCTGGCTGCCAACAGTGGCCAGCACCAGGTGCCCCAAAGGGGGTGGATCAAAGACAATAATCAAGTGATTTGTCTCCTGCCATCCCTCTCCAGACTCTGACATATGTTCAGCCATATCAAGGTAGAATCTTATTCTCTGGAGATGCAGTTACCTGGCTTTGGAAGGAAGAACTTGTCCAAATGTCTTTTTCGCCCACAAATAGAGGAACTTTCTAGCCAGGTGTCTGGAATGCAAACACAGGTTATTTGCCTTTCTGCTTTTTCATACTCAAGCTCTGTTCATTTTCAGGCAATGCTTTTGGAGGTGGAGTCTCAGAAGAATGATCTACTATACATTTGAGAGTTTGTGTCTGTCTGTCCAAGTGTCCA